CCTTCGCCACAGCTTTCCACAATCTAATTCGAGACCCAAAATCGCCCTGAAGGGGTCCTCCCCGTACGCCCTCAGAATGTCTAACGTCGCTTTCGGAATCCGTAAAACTAGTCTGTGAAGCAGCCGTTCTGTGACCTCCGACAGGTGCTCTGGCTGGTAGACAATTTGCCGTTCTCTCACCTCCCACGGGTCTTCTGGCTGGTTGACACCTGCTCCCAGTGATTCCCTTCGCCACAGCTTTCCACAATCTAATTCGAGACCCAAAATCGCCCGAAAGAGGTCCTCCCCGTGCGCCCTCAGAATGTCTAACGTCGCTGTCGAAATCCGTAAAACTAGTCTGTGAAGCAGCCGTTCTCTCACCTCCCACGGGTGCTCTGGCTGGTAGACACTAAGCCGTTCTCTCACCTCCCACGGGTCCTCTGGCTGGCTGACACCTGCTCCCAATAATTCCCTTCGCCGCAGCTTTCCACAATCTAAATCGAGACCTGGTAGACAATAAGCCATTCTCTCACTCCTCTGGCTGGTTGACACCTGCTCCCAGTGATTCCCTTCGCCACAGCTTCCCACAATCTAATTCGAGACCAAAAATCGCCCCAAAGAGGTTCTCCCCGTACGCCCTCAGAATGTCTAACGTCGCTTTCGGAACCCGTAAAACAAGTCTGTGAAGCAGCGTCGAGCACGCCCTTTCTTCCGCTTTCGAGCCTTCAGCAACGCTTCAAGCCGCCTGCCGCGACGGACACGCCTCGGGCTACGCTCCACGGAGCCGATCTCTCACCTCCCACGCGTCCTCTGGCTGGTAGACACCTGCTCCCAGTGATTTCCTTCGCCACAGCTTTCCACAATCTAATTCGAGACCAAGAATCGCCCGAAAGGGCGCCTCCCGGTACGCCCCCAGAATCTCTTGCGGAACCCGTAAAACAAGTCTGTGAAGCAGCGTCGCGCACGCCCTGTCTTCCGCTTTCGGACCTTCAGCAACGCTTCAAGCTGTCAGACCTTCCGCAACGCTTCCAGCATGCCCTCGGTTGCCTTCTCTGGCGCGCGCCCCCTTCAACCGGCGGGGTCGGCGGATATGTATAATAGTGTTGCAGAGAACACGTGATGTCACATAATGAAACACACTTCCCTTGTTGATGACTGCTGCTGTGACATTCAAGCTTTTGAAAGAACTCACACCGTTCAGACAAGCAGTCCGGAGACTCAAGAATGGGTGGAATGGGATTCGATGTACAAGTTTCACAAAGGGCCGAGAATCCAGGAACCGTTTCGCCGATGAGAAGGGTTCTTCAACAAGTTTCTTTTGCCCTCTACTGCTGCGTCCAATTGGTAGCGCCTTTGCGTCGCTTACTAAACGATCTACTTACCCCTACTGCTCCACCACCCATCCCAACAAAAAGTAGTTGCACAGAAACTACTCACTGACTGATAAGTTTAAGTGCTTGACGGCCTCCACGAAGGTGCTTGTGTTGTTTGAGTGCATCAACACATGGGGTGTATGCCAGGATCACTGACAGCTTCTTGGACAAGAATTACAAGCACTCCAAGCATGGCATTCAAGCTTTTCTCTGCTTGAACAAATCAATTGAATGCAGACACTGGATCAAGCGCGCAAACTTCAGACACGCGGTCGCCATGTCCCATTCTCATCAGCAGCTGCATATGCTCAAGGAGCAGTACATTCTAGAAGTTTGCCAAGATCCGAAGGTATTCCAGAATAGCTAATTAGCAAGAAAGACACTATTAGATTTCAATTTGTGAAAGAAACCATGAACTCGGCAAGGGTCTCATTTGCTCACTCTCAAGATGGGCTGCGTCCAAGGCGCTGAGGTCGTGTCTTGGAGCGAGTCATTGGTGCAAGACAGAAACTTGAGTTCAATCACTTCTGAGTTCGGGAGACAGTTTGATCTGGATTATATATTTTGATTGAACGAAGAAAGGACGGATTTGACTGATTTGACCTACTTTTTTCACTGTTGGAGAATGAGATCAACACTGCGAGATCAGTTTGGCCAAGGCACGACCAGATCCTCCAGTCCGGGGACCTGCTAGTGATCCAGGTGCAGGCAGAAGCTGTGTCTCCCAAACAGCCTGGCCCCATTTGTTTATCAGAACTTTACACTGCGGCTTGTGAAGTACATCGTTCTATCTGACTTATGAATAAGCTCAGTGTTTGGTGTCCCTAGCATACCCTTCTTCAAACAGTTTCTTGGCTCACTCAGATATACTGTACCAGAACAGCAACCTTGGATGAACCCGCTTGGTGAAGTGCGACCGTGACAGCCGTAGTGCGACCGTCCCATTTGTGAACGTTGGATTCCTGCCTTGGCCACAGGTTCCAGCACCGTCGTCCGAAAGCCTCCTCCCCCTGCTGTGGACGTGAATAGTATCGTCGTACCGGAAGGACCATTGGCTGCAGAGCTATACAGTATAATACAGCATACATCTTAGATGATGTCAGATTCAGGCATCATCCTGCAGTGACTATAGCCTGTAGTAGCGTCGACTCTAATGTTTCAACTCTTTCTCATAATTGTCCAAAAGCCTCGGCTTCTGATTTGTTCAGCCGGCCCTTTTGCAGGGAGAAGGAGATGCATCGTAGAATACTTGTTGATCACTTTTTTAGGCCATGCCATGCAGGTGACAAGGCAAGACCTGCCCCTGAGGTTTTGCATGAGGTCGCGTGGGAGAAAAACATAAAAATGGATACAAATTGGTTAGTGACTGGATGGTCGGGCCTACTGAGGATTCATCCATCCTCGAAGTCTGGCACGCTTTGATCCCTTTCAGGAGGAGCAGCCAGATTGGAGGTCAAGTCCAGCTGAACTTGGACAATGCACATGCATTTTGATATAGACTCCTCGATGTCTCCTCAAGACTGGACAGGGTGACGTTCTGATTAGACATCGTGTTCAGGTGGGAAAAGGACGAAGGACAATGGAGAAGCTATCCCTTGAATGACTCCATCGAGCTGGACCGGTACTGGCAAGTGTTTGCAAAGGCTGGCAACGAGGCTGAGTCCTCAGAAGACAAACAAACATGCTGATGGTCATCGATACAGAAGCTGTTGACTGCATGCAAAGCTATTCACATGTTCCTATTCGTAGAACGTTTAGAAGCTGATGCAAAACTTCCTTGCTTTGAAGCTATGATTGCTGCAAAAGAGAAGTTACAAAATAGATTTATATATATATACAGTATATATATATATATATATGTGTAACTCTTCCAAACATTGCCAATGCCAGCGGAACATTCCCATTGGCAAGCAAAGGGCTTTTGAACACATCTTCTCAAGAGTGGATCTCGCTGCCCAAGGGTGGTGAAACGAAAGCAAAGCTGAAGCTTCTCAAGACTGACGTGGCTGCTTGGCGGCAGGAGGGCCCTCAATTGCGTAGCTTCCAAGCCTCAAATCTCTATGATAAACGAATAAAACTGTCTTTGGTAGCAGCAAGACAGTGTCAACAGAGTGCTTTTTGCATTGGCTACTTTGCACTTGTGACCACTACTAGAATGCTGGTTCGTTTGCTAGCAGTGCTGTCCTACCGTGCCAAGCATAGAAAGACACAAACATGAGAAGACGTGCGACTTGAAACATTGGAGGATTTGCTGAAGTGTTGCTTGTTTTCTTTCTTTTTTAAAACTATTCTTCAGCCTTTGCTGCTGGCATGAGTTTAGACTTGCATCAATCTCATTCCAAAGGCATATGCTAAGTTGTTGGGCCAGTGTAAGCAGATGTGAATGTCAGGGAGGCCTTAGACGATGGGCCATGCAGTTGATCGTTGAAATAACTTGCTTTTGTGCAGGCCCTTGATACTGATCTCCAAAGGAGTGGTCTCACTCAAACGTCTTGAATAGTTCGGTCATCAGTCATTGCCTTGAAAGAAGTGGCTTCTCTTGTGGATTCAATAACTTTCCTTGCGCTTGAACAGCGGCCGCTATGAGGTGGTGGACTTTGCAGGAATGACTGCGCAGGTGGAAAGCATGTCTTCCTTTTCAGACTCTTGCTTCGGAAACATATGGACCGGTGCTGCTATTGGACTTGTGTTTCCGGACGTAACAACTACTGCCAGGCTCGAGCCGTAGAGAAGCAAGTTGTGAGAGAAACGCTTTTGATCCTTGTGCATGAGGCAGACCAGGGGCGCCCTCGAAAGATTGAAAGGCCTGCTTTTTCAAACTACCTTGTGGTACCCCGTCCAGGGCAAAAACGTATTGATGCCCACTGTGTTTGTGAGAGAGAGAGAGGAAGAGAGAACTCATATCAGCAATGGGAAAGCAAAAAAGTTGACAATTGCATCCAGCCAGCTGCTCACAGGAAGCTGAAAACCCCAGACTGGCTTAGCAACCGCTATTTCTTTGATGCGCAGCTCGAACGCAACAACATACAGCAAACATGCAATATCATGGAGTTTGCGATTGAAAGAAAGAGGTCTTGCCACAGGATTTCTACCAAGGCTGTGAAAGGCTTTGATAAGTTTCGATCGTCTATTTCATGCTCAAACATGCTCAAATACTATGTTCTGAGGTTCACCGAAACCCTAACCAAGGCAGGGTGCGGTGTTGAAATGCTGGAGCAGTTTGCAGATTGCATGATCAGGCCACCAGACAAGAAAGTGAGTCCTGCTTTTGCTTTTGAGGCAGGCATAAAGGTCGAGACTGCCCCTGAGCAAATGTTCGATTTTCGCTACGTACAGGACCGAATGAAAGGCAGTCTCCTGTCAACCGCTCAAGAGGGCATCCTTTTGTAGGTTAGGCATGGTTGTATAATGTCATATATAGACACATCAAGCGCCACAAGGACTTCCGTGATACCAAAGATGATGGGCGGAAGATGTTCCGAGGCGTGATGACCAGCCGTAGGCTCTTGGGACCGCTTAAACTTCAAACCCTTTACACAATCAACCTAATTGCGATGGCCTCCAACCTAATTGCGATGGCCTCCAACCTA